GTGCGGGGTTTTCAATGAAGGAAGTTATGGGTAGGCCCCCAATTTGAAGGAAAAATGCCCTAGAGACAATAAGCACATAGGATGGGTTAGCAGAAGTTGGATTCTTGCAGCAGGAAGGCAGAGTGGCCCCCTTAGTCCAGTCTTGATTTTGAGCAGCCCCATCTTTCTGCTCCCACTAGATTCTTCAGTTTGATTTTCTTCAACAAAATCAATATGGTAGCCTTGGAGATTCATGTCCTGTCCTGCCAACTACATATAAAATACCAGGTTTCTCATATTAGGGTAGTACCAAGCAAGTATTCTTTGCTATTCTATAGGAAGAAGATGGAGGGTCTGAAAGTAGCATCTTTGGTAGCATAGATAGATATGCAGACTAATGGGCAGCTCTAGACATGGACACAATATAAAGAGAGGATGGATACACTCTCCTAATGTTATACTTTTCTTATCCTGTTGCTGGAGGTCATTATAGCCTAGAATTTAGATTAAGACATGTCTGGATTTGAAAGCAGACTCCTCTACTTGCTAGCTATGCAACTCTGGGCAAGTAATTCTACCACTCCGAGACTCAGTTTCCAAATCTGCAAAATTTAGATGATGACAGTTTCTTTATCATAGAACTGTTGTTAGAATTGAGTGAGATAATGTTTATCAAGGGTTTAAGCACATGTTGTGTCTAGAACATAGTAACATATACCTGATAAGTGTAGCAATTATTATTGTTTGAGACAGCAATGAATCCATCTGTCTTGTGGAATCTTGGGATCTATGCAGTCGGAAGGAGGCTTGCTGGTTTATCCATGTTAGTCCAGGAGTATTTGAAGTAGTGCATAGGTATGTCCCAGAAGAAGAATGGACAATAAACCACAGAGGTCGGATTCAGGTTAGACACAAGGTAGAACTTTCAAGAAGTGAGGATTAAAGGAAGAAGTCAAATTTGGAACGAAGAAGTCAAGGAGTGAGGATTAACAAACCTTGAGTAGTGCAGTCCTATTTTTCTCCCCAGACATCTATTATATGTGAAGAAATAAAGAATCTTGTAATTTGAATGGTTTAGCATGATCTTGTTTAAAGACACAAAGACAGATGAATTGATCTCATTATCATATTTCCTGTCCTCTCAGTAATTATTTGACTCTTTCACTGTTCCCTGGACTTTTAGAAATGGGTACAGACTGTCAAGTTCTGATGTATCTGGTGCTGGTAGATAATGGTTGACTCCGTTGTACTCAGAGAAATCGTGGACACAGAAAGATTAAGAGATTTATCCAAGGTAACAAGGTAATGTTAGTGAGGTGGGATTTGAACTGCCTCGAGAGAAGGGGTAGCTATTTCTCTGAGCTGGAGGTGCTGTATCTTTGGATCACTAGGGAGAAAGACGCATAAGAATCTCTTTAACTCCTGCTCTAGAATGTCTGGGTTTGCAAATCCTACAATCATTTCTTCTTGCTGCCCCCTTTTTCAAATGGAAAAACAATAGATAATTAGGTCAAGAAACACCCTCTAGACATGGATGGCAAAGTGATTTTATCTGGAATGCCAAAGCCAACTTATTAGTAGTGGCTATCTAGAAACTGTGTGTTGAGAAAGATTCTGAGGGTCAGTCTGAGAAAGAGCATTGTGATGGATCAGTGATATCTACATTATATTCATTAACCAGCATATTAATAGGTCCTTGTTTATGCAGTGGGCTGGCTTACATCTGGGAAAAGAGAAAGCAAAACCCTGAGGGAATAAGACTCACAATGGTTCTATTTTAATACAGTGATGGAGGAACTGGAGTTCACGTTATACTGGAGAAGCCAGACCTCAAGTATAAGTCACTGTGATAAGATGGAAAGGGGACAAGTGTTAGTCAGTGGGGATCCAGAAGGTGAATCCGGCTATGAACTGCTTCAGGGAAGGGACTATATCTGGTTTATCCTTGAGTCCTCCATGCCCAGGACTGCACCTGCACAGATCCAAGATTGGGCATCAATTAGTGATTATTGAACTAACATGGCCTGACTTAATATACTAACAGGTGATTATTCCAAGATCATCAGCCAGAAGAGCTACCATTGAATAGTCACTTGCTATAAACTGGACAATGCGCTAAAGTCCTTTGCAGGTAACATTTCATTTAATCTTCCCAACCACCGTGTGGCATCTCCATTTTTGCAAATGGGGAAACAAAGACCGAAGTTAGTTATTAGCCCAAGGTCATCCAGCTAAAATAATGGCAGAACTGGGCTTCATATCCCAGTTCTCTCTAAATCCACAGGCTGTGCTTGTAGCCACCTGAGTAACTGATCTTTTTTAGTAAACTGTGTTTTAGACACCATTCTATAACTTGTACACTTGTTAATTCCTTCAATCCTCACAGCTATTTCATCTAAACATATTATTTATAATCTTTACATAATCTTCATAGTGTTGATAAAGAAACTGTGGCATAGGCAAATGAAGTCACTCCTCCACCGTTACACAGCTAGGAAAAGGCAGAGCTGGAATTTGAACCAGGCATTCTGGATTCCAAGTCCTGAACTTATTACTGCAGATTCCCAGTTTAGGAGCCTCAACCCCAAGTGCTTCTAAATATGTGGCTCATTGTTACCTGATTTATTTTTAGACGCACCCCCATCCTGGTATACATAGAATGCCACTCCATCCTCCGCTTCGCCAAGCAAAAACAGAAACTGTATTTTTCACAGATTTCCTTCGCTTTCTACAGAATCACCTTGGGGAAGTCACTTGGTCATCCTCAACTTCTTCATCTTTATTTTTATTTATTTATATTTTTAGAGTAAGATTCCAATTTATTGGGTCAGAGATGTGTGATCCCACAGGCAAAGGTAAATACAGCAGTCCTTGGCATGGCATCCATTTCCAACTTCTTCATCTTTAAAACAGAGTAAGATTGAATAGCAGGTCTATGTTTTTTAACTTTTATTTTAAGTTCAGGGGTATAAGTGCAGGTTTCTTACATAGGTAAACTTGTGTCATCGAGTTTGTTGAACAGATTATTTCACCACCTAGGTATTAAGTGTAGTACCCAATAGTTATTTCTCCTGATCCTCTCCTTCCTCCCAACCTTCACCCTCCAAAAGGCCCCAGTGGTATGTTGTTCCCATCTATGTGTCCATGTGTTCGCATCATTTAGTTCCCATTCATAAGTGAGAACATGTGGTATTAGGTTTTCTGTTCCTGGATCAGTTTGCTGAGGATAATGATCTCCAGCTCCACCCATGTCCTTGCAAAGGACATGATACTCTTTTTTATGGCTGCGTAGTATTCCATGGTGCATATGCACCATAATTTTTTTATCCAGTCTATCACTGACGGGCATTTAGGTTGATTCACATCCATACTATTGTGAATGGTGCTGCAGTGAACATACACATGCATTCGTCTTTATAAAAGAATGAGCAGGTCTACTTTTAGTTCTTTGAGAAGCCTTTATACTGTTTTCCATAGTTGTACATTCCCACTAACAGTGTATATGTGTTCCCTTTTCACTGCATCTACACCATCTATTGTTTTTTTGATGTTTTAACAATGGCCATTCTGCGGTAAGGTGCTATTTGGGTGACAGGTATATAAAAGCCTAGACTTCACTACAATGCAATTCATCCATGTAACCAAAAAACACTTGCCCCCTCAAAGCTATTGAAATAAAATAAATAAATACAATAGAATAAGAGCAGCTTTCTCTCCCACCTCATCTGGCTACTGTGGGATTTTAAAAGGGCAGTGTCTTGCAAGTGGGAGCTTTATCAACATTCTAGGGGTTAAGAGCAGGCACACAGCTGGAAGATGTTGATTGATCTTGTGGAAGTAGGATCCCACCTACCTCTCTCCTGCAAGTGATTCAGTTCATACCCTAAATGTCATGATTAAGGATAGTTTTAACTATGCCAGGCTACTTAAGAAAGACGCCAGTTCTGGATTGCATTTACAACGATATCAACTTCTGGGTGGGAAATGGGGGTCGGGACCAATCGGGGAATGGGAAATTTGATGCACGGTAAGAGAGAGAGGGAGGAAGGGGCTAGCCTAATCTCCGCTTTGCTTCACCTCCAACCTTCCCAGGCCTGACTCCACCTCGGGTCCCCCCACAACCCACTTAAGAAGCCAGCAAATGCTCCTCTCGTTGTTGACCAGAAGGGGTCAGTGCAGAGCGAGCAGTGCTCTCAGGCTCTCAAGCGGACGCAGGAACATCGAACACACAGGCTTCAAACGTAGATATTCTCTGGGACGGCACTCATTTACTCCAAAGCTGTTTCTTCTCCCTTCCCATCTAATCCTCTCTTACCTCCTCTGCCTCTTCACTTCCTAGTTATATCCTGCTCCCCTTCAGAGAATTTCTGAAGTTGCCATTGTTTGTTCCCCCAACCCCACGCCCTACTCCGCCCTAAGGGTCCCCATTGCTATCTGCATTAGCAAGGAGCAGGAGTTTATTCTCGCTCTGTCTGGGACCCAGCGCCAGGTGCTTGGAGGCCTTTAAGACTGAGAGAGGCCTCCTAGGAATTTACAGCCTGAAAAGTTGGGGGTGGGGGGCATTAGGTGGGAGATGGGGGAGTCGCATTTCTGCTAAGATTAAAAGGCTTCCAGGAAGGCTAGGGCTGAGGGGTCCCGCCGCGATCTCTTTTTTATGATGAAAATCCTGGGGGGAGACAAGAAGTCATTCTACCCAAATCCTCTGTATCTGGGGTTGCTTTGGGATTCTAAACCTCCACTTGCTTGGGATTACGATTGAACTGCGAGGCGGTAATAAGATGCGGAGGAGAGACCGAAAAGTAACTATCCCCCTGCTGATCCTCGAAATTTTCCTCTCCAACCCTCCCACTAAGCGCTTTCTTTTCCAAAACGCACTCCTTTCCCGAGACGAGCGGCAGTAGGAAAAGTAGTGGGAAAAGTGGCTGCGAGCGGATTCCCGGAGGGTGGATGGGGGTGGGGCGGGGTGGGGTGGGAGGAGGACTCTTTCCCTTGGACGGGGTTGGCGGCGGGGACGCTGGGCAGGCCGGCTGTGAGACACAAAAGAGATACCCTTGACAGCTCCGCATGCACAGATGTAACGCTGCGCCCCTCGGCGGGCTGGGGCCCGGCTCAGCAGATGGCGAGAAGCCGAATTGGTGACGGATTGCCGATCAAATGGCACTTTCTAGGTGGTGGAGACCTCGCTCGCCCCCAGCGCAAAGAGGAACGCAGGTGACCCTCTGTACCGGCCTACGCAGTCTCTCCCAAAAGTGAGGGTTGGGGGAGGCCGGCTGGGGCGGATAGGTTAAGTTTTTTACTTCCCCCGATCCCTCCACACCAGAAGGCCAGCTACAAGACTTGTGAAGGGGCTGGGAAGAAAGGTGGCCTGGCCCCAAGGGCACCCAAGAGAGGGCTGGGCAAGGCCGGCGAGGATGGGAGAAGAGAGGGGTCTGGGAAGCAGGATCTCCTGCTTGGGATGCCAGGATTGCTTCTCAGAGGGGTCAGCACTGCAACTCGGTCGCCGCGGGGCCCCTGTGACAGGCGCACGCCCCGCCCTCTCTCCTCCCAAGACCTGCGGGCTTTTGTTATGCAGATGGCGGCAGGGAGGCTGAGCCTTAGGAGGAGGAGGGTGCTGGGGAGGAGGAGGAGAGACAGAGCGAGGGGAGGAAAGTGCAGCTCGCGCGACCAGCCTCCTCTTCCAACGTCACATTGTGCGAGAGACAAAACCCGGGCGCGCCGGAGCTCTCACGCGCACGCACACACAAACGACCCCGTCGCCTCTTCTCTACTGGCGCTGCCCAGAAAGCCAGCCCTCCCTCCCCTTCTCGGGGCGCAGAGGCTCAGCCGGCTCAGAGCGCAGCCCGGAGCCGACCCAGAAGGGCGAAGAAAGCTGGCGGACGAGGCTCCTTTCTCTGCTGCCTGCCCGGGCTGGGGCGTCCCCTCCCCCGCCCCTAACTCCGATCTCTCCCACCCCACCCCTTTCTGGGTTTCACCCGGACAGAGCCCGGAGCTGGGTGTCGCCCCCGTTTGGAATCCACGTTTCAGCACTTCGGACAGCGCCCGGACGCCCCGGGCCCTTTGGGTAGGTGATGGCAAGCGTTCAGCAAGGCGAGAAGCAGCTTTTTGAGAAGTTCTGGCGAGGAACCTTCAAAGCGGTGGCCACCCCCCGTCCCGAGAGCATCATCGTCGCCAGTATCACGGCCCGCAAGCCGCTGCCAAGGTAATGATCTCCTTCTTAAAAGGGGGAATCCTGAAGGTCCTCTTTTCTGGCTTGTGCCCCAGAGCCCGGAGGGGTGGATGCAGGCAGCCGGGCTAGGGCGCCTGCCTTTTCCCGTCAGTACTCGGCGGCTCCCGCTGGAACATGGGAACTCATTGCTTGTGTGAGGTGGAAGATGGTGAGAGGGGACAGAAATTCTTTGGGGGAAGCAACGCTCAACGGACCCCCGTAGCTCCTATTCAAGAGGCTTTGCTACCTGAGGGTGGGCGGTGCAGGTGGGGTACTACTTGACTGAAAAACTTTTCTTGGTGTCACAGAGTCCAGAGGGCAGGTGGGCCAAGGTATAGTGGATCTGAGGTGTTTAGGGGGTGTTGTACCAGAAAAGGAGACTTGAGCCAGCTCAAGCAGTGTTCAGAGATAGCAGCACATTTCCATCCTCGGCTCAGAAACTAGAGAGCTTTGAACATTTTTGACAAAAGCCCATATGCTGTTCCCTCAAATACACCCAAAACAGCACCCTCCTCCATGCCTTTCTGGCGGCTGCTGCCGTTGCTGCTGAATTCTCTCCTCTCCAGCATCCAAAACCAAGACTCTGAGCTCGGGAGTCAGGGAGGAGCCTTCCAAGATCGTGAAGATGATCTTGGAAGAGTTTTATTTATTTATTTATTCAAAAAGAATCTGATTGCTTTGAACTCAGGGATGAGAATAGATCTTTCCATGGTGGTAGACATGGTGCTGATGGAAGGAAGAATAAGGGAAGAAATGCAAGAAAGAGGGGGACAAGAGGTGGGGTGAGAGAGAGAGAAGGTTGGGGGAAAATGGAAGCATTCCAAGACAGGGAGGAAATCCAATTCTTTTCATAAATCATTCAATTTAGAGGAGTTTGAGAATGAAGGGAAGAAGACTGTGCCCTCTGTCAGGGAAAATCAAGGCGGTATGAAAACTCATCTTTTGCTGGTGTTGGATGAGTGGTTTAGTAGGAGAAAAGAAAGAAGTGGACGGGGGAATCACTTGGATGATTTATTAATCCTGGCAGTCTGCATTAGGGAGCAGATTGAAAACATGTCTGCAAAAGTGCTTCGGACAGACTGAACGTCTGTTCTGGCACAACTGATTCTGAACTTTCCGGTGGGTGTGAGGTGGAAGACGTATGGGGAATTATGTCTGAAGAATCAAACATTATGTCTGAAGAGGAAACAGACTGAAGAAGTTTATTCTTCACCGTCTTATAGAGGATCATACAGGTCTTTAGAAAAATGGGTGTCCCATTTTGGGAATGGGTGGATAAGCAACACAACAGGCCAGTAGGGTGTAGCAGGCTGCAAGCAGAAGCAGCACCAGCCAGTGTTTGCAGATGGGAAGGAGGGGACACCCACCCACCAACTGACACGCTGGAGAAGGGGAACAATAATACCAAATGCCATTAAAAGCTGATGCTTCTCTGCTTGGAAGGAGGTTCTTTGTATGGAGTTTTGACGTCAGCAGTTTTATCTTCCTGAGTTTCTGCTGTCTATTCCACCTTTGACACATACCTACTGTTGGCTAATCAGGTGCTGCACTGGCCAAAGAAAACGTCCTTGTAGAAGGAACTAGAGGAAATTTAACTGGAAACTAGAAGTATGGCACTTACTCCAGAGCCTTCCATCTATTTTAGGGGTATAGGGAGAGAAAAGCGGATTCCTGGTGGTGTTTTGATTCAGGAAAATACACCTAATGCCCACCTTGCTTGGTACTTTCCACTTTTGTCTGTCTGTCTGTTACTGTCCTGCCCTTTTCTTGGTCATATGTGCAATTATATGAATGGCCCACAAGATCTTTCAATCCCCATGCTTTCTGCAGCTTTTTGTTAATTCTAATGTAATCTCCTTCTGAGACTTTGACAACACTACTCCCCCTCTGCAGCCAGTATCATTTCACTCTTGGTGTCTTATACTGTCATGGGTCTCCTTTCCCTGAGAAACCACCCCTGGGGTTAGAGCTTGAGCCATAAAACCTCGATTTATGTCAAGCTAGGAGAATCCTGCGTAATACTTCTGTAATAGGCGTGGCCTCTCTGTAGAACAGATCCCAGTTTCAGTAGAGCTGTTACTCCTGGTTTGGGGTAGAGAGTGAGAAGGGAACATTCGTTTCCAAGTCCTCAGGAAAGGTTGGGTTGGAGTTGTCTTTTAATAGACCAGATAAAACCTGAATCATCCCCATTCTCACCCAAGCCAGCCACATCCAGTGACATTCAATTTCCACTTCCTTTTCAATATTCTACGCTTACTTAAGGGTGAAAGTGCCATGTTTCCAAAGCTGAGTTCTCAGGAGGAAAAAAGACAGAGACTTTGGCACAATATCAGCTGGATTTTGGTGGCTTCCTCTAGAGGCAATCTGGGGACTTGGTCTCATCAGAAATGCTGTTTAGTTCCATGAGTCAAGCCCAGATCACAGTGGGCAGATCAGCACATGCAGCAGTCTGCAGGGAGACAGTAGGGAGTGAGTGGAGGAACCACTAGTCCGTTCTGTTGGTGACACATTTAATATTTGTTTATCGACGAAGGCCACCCCCCCTGAATAAACTTCCTCAGGATATTTTAGACTATCTCTGAAGGTAATTTAGTACCAGGATTGAAGCATATATTCAATTTGTTGATTTCATAGCAATATGCATACATCATACAACTGCAATCCAAGCAACCCCCACTTAGTCTCTCTTTCTCCTCTCCCCCTCTGTGAGGCATACTTGATGAGGCAATAGCTTTATAATGTATCAAATTGCAAGCAGATGTCTGACTCAAATGTCAGAACAGTATAGCAGAGTGGGAAGCAGTATATCATAGTAGTTAAGAGCTCAGACTTGAGCATAAGACAGCCTGAATTCCTGTCCTGGTTCTATCATTTACTAGCTGTGTATCCTGAACAAGTAGCTTTACCACACTGAGGTTGAAAATAGAAATAATAACAGCAGCCCCTTAGAAAGCAGGTTGTAAGGATTGAATTAGGTAAAGCTCTACCCCTGTGTGTGATACATGGTGTTCACTTAGTAGACATTGACTCTGCAACAAGGCTTATAGTGGCCAAAAGGAAATCAACAGTTTCTCATTATTGTTTTCTCCATGCCTACCCATTTCTCCCCCAGGTAATGCTGATGGTTTTTATTGGGATTTCAACTCCTGATGCACAACTACATTCAGATGAAATTAACACACATGAGCCAGGATAGAGAGCGGTCCCATAATTCTCGTCTCTGAGGACAGGTTAGCTGCTTTCTGATCTGACTGTTTCGCCTAAGAGGGTTGGAGATAATAAATAATAATCTGGATTTGGAATTGATTGGTATAACATTTCCATGGAGCATTCTGTTGGTTTGTATAGAGAAGATCAGGTACTGTCAGTCTAAAGAAAGCTCAAACTCCTTCAAAAATTACAAGCTCAATTCTGTGGTTTCATCAAATCTACAGTGCCTATGTGATTTATAGTTTATATCAAAATGTCTTTCATTAAGAATGAAAGAGGACGTCATTAGTAATCATTCTAGGATGGAAGATCTAACAGAAATAATTCCAGGCAAGCCAGGATGTAGAGTGGTCCTAGTCAAACTCCATCTACCAACAGGAAGGGAACCAGTATGAATCTATACGTTATGTGAATTTCTAAAGCGTAAAGAGCCATTTCCCTTTTATCTCCCCCACAGGAAGGGTAGTCATTTTGCCTGGCATTAACTTAATTCTCTTTCTTGATTGCTTAGTCCAGAAAAGTTTGTACCTATGAAGTTTCAGCTTAGTGAAAACCTAGTGTTTAAGGCTAGATCAAACCACAATATGATTTCGTATCACCATATTGACAAATAGTAGCAGCTAAGGACTTAATGAACATGTAAAAATCATTTGAAATTAGTATATCAATTGTTTGTGGATGTATGAGTGTTAGTAAAGGGCTAGAAAAGAGACTCCCTTAAACAGAATACACATTTTCCTTACGATTCTTTTCGCAAGCTATTAATTTTCTTCAAAAATACTTTCTATGCAGAATAGACCAGAAGCAGAGACTTCAGCCCAAGCCCTGTCCAAAAGGCAATAAATTCCAAACTATTGGAGATTTTACTGCATAAAGGGAAAGATGCCCAAATTGTAAGGCAGAAAAAAAAATGTCTTTGAACCATTTAATTTAAGACTCCCCTCAGTGCCAAGAGATCATTTAGCATGTTTGTGCTGACTTGGTCACCAGGAACAGGGTGAGGGGCTGTTGAGAGGCGATTTTCTGGCAGCAGCCTGTGGTTAAGAGCCAATATACTGAGGGTCACAGAAAATGCTTGCCCTGGTGGTGAATGAGCGTTTTTCTCTAGGAAGGGAGGATTATTGTTTGGGTCAAACCTTTCTCCTTTTGAAAGGCTAATTTTGTTGAATGGGGTACAGGGGTCAGACGGTCGCAGGGGTCATTCCTGACACTCTGCTGTGTTCACCTGGCAAACGTGCTATCTTAGAGAACCAGGATGTGGTAGATGTTTAGTGAATGTTGGATGCATTAATTGGATGAGTGTGCATGGTTCAAACCCAGCAACAGATTAGCTGTTTCCCCACCTCCAATTCTGAGACACTGAGGCTTCTGATCAATGCAACTTGAAAGACACACACACTGCAAATAGATTTCACTCTCCCAGGTGTCAGAATGAGGTTCCCTAGATAGAGACATTTGTCTGGCTGGGCAAGGAGACGTGTCAGCCAGTATGGGGGCAGGAGGTTGGACTCAGTGCCACTTGGGCGTGCTTTCCAGGCCTCTGAGTGTCTGTTATCTCCACCCCTGTTCCAGGCCACCAAAACTGGGAACATCCTTAAAACTCTAGCTCCTTTAAATGGGGAAGGAAGTCCAGGTCATGCGCCTTCTTCTCCATGAACATTTCAGGCGTGTTGTAGGAGCACAATACATTTTTAAAATATCATTTTTTTTAGAGTGGCTGGATTTACCTCCATATGAAGTGGAAGAATTCACAGGGGCTTAGCAAAACTAGAGCTCTTTAATTG